CGTCTAGTCCAGTTGGAATATGTAATTATGTATCGAAATTATATATCTGTCTCTTATACACATCTATGACCAAAACTAAACAATAATAGTCATTTTGTCATTATTTCATCACGTTTTTGGGAAAATCTTCAGGCACTAAGCATCAGAGATCAAGGTGCCTACAGCACTCATATATTTGACATCGAATTCAAGGATATAAGCAAAAAATTACAATATTTAGTTTCCTCTATTAAAATATCGAAACAAAGCGACGTAATTTTTCACCTTATGGAATAACAGAAGACCACTAGATTTAGGTTTATTTGTTTTTTTTTTTTATAAAAATTAATGAGGACATGAACAAACTGTGTTTGATAATTATATTATTGCTTACATAGGCCTACTTAATTGTTTATTTCTTCCAAACATGCTCACAATGAATTACTCTTTGTCAAAATTCCATGCTAGCATGCGGCAGACTTTGCAGGATGTTCAAGTAAATTTCCAAGAAACAGTATCTGGTATTATATTTGGAAATTGCAGACAACTTGGCACACAATTATAGCACGAAGGACACTCATGTGTTAAGTTAAATAGACAATTTCTTGTGAACGGGTTTAAACAAGTAGTGAATAATCTATAATCTTTGAGAAGCAATATATTTCTGACAAGTCAATCACTCAATTAATCCTAACGATATCAAGTTTATTTGTTGGCCAGGGGATTCTGATTATTATAATAGAGTCGATATGCCAGACTAGATTTTTAAATTTAGGTACCCATACATTTTGAAACATAACATTAGAGGAGTAGTATATTGTATATTGATGTAAGGAAGAGACGATTAAATTTTTTTTTGCGCTCTGAGGTCGTATTTTCTACACACCCAGCTATTTAACTCCACTCCAATGATTGTAATATTATTATAAAGTTACGAGTTTAATATTCATAGATGAATTTTAAATTTAATAGAAATAGGCCTATCATTTTGATTCAGTCAGCATGTATAATTTATATGTCAATAATGTGATTTATTATCAATTAGCGTGTATGAAATTTAAAAAAAAGACAGTCGGTAACCAATTATTTCAAACCAATTAGTGATACGTGTTTTTTAAAGAAATCGTTCTTATTAGTTGACATATTAGCATTACGATTATTAATATGTACACTTATGAAAATTAAATTTTAATAATTTAGCACCTTACGTTAAAACCAACATTGATGCCTGTCCTTAAAGTGTGTAATTTAAATATATTCAATGTATCTGTTGGTGAAGGTTTACCAGACCTTTGTTTTTTTTACAGAAATAACCAACAACACCGTTGAGCATATTCATGATGTCAAAATATTTAGCCAATTCGGTGTGTCTTCCAAATTTTATCCCTCATGTAATATGTGCAAAAGCTAAAAAAATGTCTATTATAATTGATGAAACATCGATTTTTGTGTTTAGGTTGAAAATCATGAACAATAAATTATTCACTAAATGAAGTAATCATAGCATTCTTACAAGAAACAATAAAATGGTTTAAACTGTGCTGATAATAACTATACAACAGGTTTTTTTTTATCAAGTTATATCAAATCAAATTTTTATCAAGTTTTATCAAATCAATCATTATTATTATTATTATTATTTTTATTATTATTATTATTATTATTATTATTATTATTATTATTATTATTATTATTATTATTATTATTATTATTATTATTACTATTACTATTACTATTACTATTACTATTATTATTATTATTATCATTATCATTATCATTTTCATTATTATTATTAATATAATTATTATCATTATTAATATTATTGTTATTATTATTATACTTATTATTATCATTAGTATTATTGTTATTGTTATAATTATTATTATTATCATTATCATCATCATCATGATCACCATTATATTATTATTATAGTTATTGTTATTATTATTATATTTGCCTGTAAATAGAATAAATTATGCATGTATGTCTTGGGAGTATAGTTTAGAAAAAAAAAATTTAGGACAATTAATTATTATCACAATCGAAGAAATATGCATTACATTGAGTTACAATATACTGTATTATTATCAATTCACTACCACTAATCATTGAACAACGTGTAGCACTGCAAAATATACCATTAATTGCAACAATCAGGTTATTAATATCAAATTAAAATTACAATTAAATAAAAAGTATTACCATAATTATTATTGCAGCAATTATTATTGCCGTTGTGATTTTTTTTTTCATTAATGATTATAATATATTATTTACAACAATAATTAAAAAAATCAGATATGAAATCGAAATTTTAAAATAGGTAGCAAGTACCACTTATGTTTTAAACTGATAATGTTGTCAAATTAGCGTTTATGATTATTGTAGCACAGGATATAATATCGTTGGTAACTAATTATTTCAAATGCAGCAAATGCTTATTATCGTTTTTATTTGTTTACATTTGAGGCGTGTTGGTAGTATAATAATCAATATTATATGCATATAAAAATTTAATCTAAATAATGTAGTGCCTTTTGCTAAAACAAAAATAAAACAACATTAGTGTCTGAATGTTTACATAATTGCGTTGTTTGGTGTTTCAAAGGGATTGCCGTTTATACATAAGGCAGTAATGTATTAAAGTTGGCAATCTTTGATCAATGTACTTAGAATTATAATCGTAATCAAACCAGATTTGCACAATTAATTATCAGATGTAATCTTGATATAAGAAACAGTATTATTACTTAGTGCCATACCGAGCTAATGCTTCATACGATACGCACCTAACAGCTATCGGACAGGGAAATGTGGACTACACATCTGGTTTAGTTTTCTTTTTTGTGTGTAAATCTGAAATTTTAATAACTTTGTTGTGTCATAGTGTTACGTCATCATGCAACTTATTGCGTGGAAGTGTACACTGGCTTTATGTTTTGTTGCTACATATTATGCTGTGTACGTAGCTGGATCTGGTAAGTTATTGTTGTAGCCTATAGGCCATACTAACCAATTGTCCAAACCGAAAGTACTGTACGCATAAAGTCACGTGAATGTCTTTCAAAATGTATCATTTTAGCATTTTTAAATATATAATTCCACATTAAGTTTTTAAACTTGAATTTATTGTGTTAATTAAATTATACTATAATATTTATTGAGTATTGTGCAATACCATGGAAAAACGTGTCCAACTGTAAAAAATCTCACTTCTGAGTTGGTAGAGTATCTGACCGGTAATCGAAAGGTCTTGAATTCAAATCCGAATTAGGACTGTAGTTGTAGTTTCCGAAAAACTGAATTGTTTATATCTGTTTTTTAGAAGTTATTAATTTTGATAATGTTACGGGAATTTTTTAAAATTTATTAAAATATATAGGCCTATAAGGATTTAGAATTTATGGCAAATAAAACACTGATTATATAATTATAAATTAAAAGTTCAATGTAATTCATGGTTATTTTCTTTGTTTGTATTCACCCTGTTTACAAGTAAACTAAACATGCAGTATAACGGAAATAAATATTTACCGAATTGTAAATTTCCGGCCCAAAATCATTCTTTCATTAATTAATTAATTCATCATTTTATTTTTATTTCTTACAATATTCAGAATTACGCGATTTTCGCACGCCCTTAATTTTCGCAATCATTGTTTTATCGCAAAAATCGGTAAAAAATTAGGGTACGAGAAAATAAAGAGCTTTACATTATATTCAATTACGCAGTGAAAAAAACTATTGAAGAGCGATTCAAGAGGAAAAAAAACTTGTAATACTTTATATAATCCTCAAATGTATTATTCTTATACCTGATTCAGGTCATTATCTCATTTCATTAGCCACATTCACAAGAGGCCATAGTTCAAGATCCAGACAACCACATTCTAGAACACAGACATTTCAGTCAAGTTTCTTTCTAATCGCTCTATAGAACTCACTACCACACACTGCTCTCTCTACATCACATGTTTCCGGAGCACAATTGCGCTTTCGTGTTATTTAATGTTTTCGTAACAAGTACGATGATCCTTACATCATGGAGCATGTACTCACCAGAAGATAAAATGACAATAATAAAACACATCTTTTGCTCATGTTGTGTAAGTTAAGCGTTTCTCACACGGAAAAAAAATAGATGAGCGGTACTTGATAAAGACAACATCATTTCTTGCTTCAACAAGGTATCCAATCGTAAAAGTCTTACTGAGATAAGCCTATTCAAGTGAACATAACAGAGTTATTGCTTACATAGGCCTACTTAATTGTTTATTTCTTCCAAACATGCTCACAATGAATTACTCTTTGTCATAATTCAATGCTAGCATGCGGCAGACTTTGCAGGATGTTCAAGTAAATTTCCAAGAAACAGTATCTGGTATTACATATAATTGGAAATTGCAGACAACTTGGCACACAATTATAGCACGAAGGACACTCATGTGTTAAGTTAAATAGACAATTTAATTTGTGAACGGGTTCAAACAAGTAGTGAATAATCTATAATCTTTGAAAAGCGATACATTTCTGACAAGTCAATCACTCAATTAAGCCTAAGTTTATTTGTTAGCCAGGGGATTCCGATTATTAATAGAGAGGCGATATACCAGACTAGATTTTTAAATTTAGGTACCCATACATTTTGAAACATAACATTAGTAGATTATTATACTGTATATTGATGTAAGGAAGAGATGATTAAATTTGATGGTCAAATAACGATGTAGACGTCAAAGAAATCTGGTACCCTTCCAGCATAAAATAAAACAATGGAATACTGCTGTGAGTACTTTTTCGCGCCGCACCTTTAGGCTGATACGATCAAGAAGAAACAGTCATTAAGAAACTATAGGTAGCGGTAGCTTTTACTACGAAAAGGAATGGGAGTTAATTCCAAACTAATTAATGCGCAAGCTCCAAAGAACGTCCGAATACATATGTATAAAAACACAGTGAACATGCGTTTAGATGCTAGACATTGAGCATAATATGCACTGAGTACTTGACGTTGTCGAGCTATGTCGAGCATGCGCAGTTACCAAAAAAAAGTCTCAGGAACCAGCGTCTGCGAAGAAGGTGAAATAGAAATTGGAGAAGTCGAACTTTCTTATGCAACAATTGAGCATCGGCAACTCAAGTAAACGCGATCGATGCATGGCTATGAAAATTAAAAATAATGAGAATTCCGGTCGAAAAACCTTAGTTATCGAAGGCCTACAGTAGCATCATATAATCTTCATGGAGAATTGTATAATTAAATTATCGCAAACAACAGTTTATTTTGCTCTATTGTCGTACGCACTTATGAATTGACAATCCGATAAAATAACCAGAGAAACTGACGACACACCCCAGGCTACTATAGGCCTCTCTGGGAAGCTACTAATAGTAGTAGCCATGCACTACCACTAATAATTGAACAACGTGTATCACTGCAAAAGTTACGATTAATTGCAATAACCAGGTTATTAATATCCAATTAAAATTAAATAAAAATTATTACCATAATTATTATTGCAGCAATTATTATTGCCGTTGTGATTTTTTTCTTCATTAATGATTATAATATTATATTATTTAAAAAAATAATCAAAAAATCCGATATGACATCGAACTTTTAAAATAGCTAGCAAGTACGACTTAAACTGATTATGTTGTCAAATTAGCGTTTATAGTTATTGTAGCACATGAAATAATATCGTTGGTGACTAATTATTTCAATTCAACTGGCAGCAAATACTTATTATCGTTTTTAGTTGTTTACATTTGAGGCGTGTTGGTAGTACTCTGGTAGTAATCAATATTATATACCTATTAAAATTTAATCTAAATAATTTAGTGTCTTTTGCTAAAACAAAAGACAACAACATCGTCTTAATATGTACATGATTGCGTTGTTTGGTGTTTCAAAAGTATTTGTCGCTTATACATAAGGTAGTAATGTATTAAAGTTGGCAATCTTTGATCAATGTACTTAGAATTATAACCGTAAATCAAATCAGTAACCTTGATATGAGAAACAGTACTATTAGTTGGTGCCATACCGATCTAATGCTTCATATGGTACGCTACAACAGTTATCGGACGGGTAGTAATTGTGGACTACACATCTGGTTTAGTTTTGTGTGTGTGTGTGTGTGTGTGTGTGTGTGTGTGTGTGTGTAAATCTGACATTTTAATAACTTTGGCGTGTCACAGTGTTACGTCATCATGCGACCTATTGCGTGGAGGTGTACACAATTGCTTTATGTTTTGTTGCTGCATATTATGCTGTGTGCGTAGCTGGATCTGGTAAGCTATTTTTGTAGCATATAGGCCTAACCAATTGTCCAAACCGAAAGCACGCATAAAGCAACGTGAATGTCTTTCAAAATGTATCATTTTAGCATCTTTCAATATATAATTCCACATTGAGTTTTTAAACTTGAATTTATTGTGTTAATTAAATTGTACTATAATATTTATTGAGTATTGTGCAATACCAGGGAAAAACGTGTCCAACTGTAAAAAATCTCACTGCTCAGTTGGTAGAGTATCCGAACGGTAATTGAAAGGTCTTGAATTCAACTCCGAATTAGGACTGTAGTTGTAGTTTCCGGAAAACTTAATTGTTTATGACTTTTTTTTAGAACTTATTAATTTTGATAATGTTACAGTAGTGTTTAAAATTTATTAAAATGTATAGGCCTATAAGGATTTAGAATTTATAGCAAATAAAACACTGATTATATATTATAAATTAATAATTCAATATTATTCAGGGTTATTTTCGTTGGGTGATCTCACCCTGTTTACACGTAAACTAAACATGCAGTATAACGGAAATAAATATTTACCGAACTGTAATTTTCCAGCCCAAAATCATTCTCTTTCATTAATTAATTAATTAATTCATCATTTATTTGATAATTTTTATTACATTTGGTAACCTGGTCAGTACAGAACAGTAACAATGTGCTAACCTATGTTTCAGATTTATCCTTTCACAAGACCTAATTAACATGTATTCCACCGATTTCTTTCTTTTTTAATTATTATTATTTGGCAGACAGTGCATTTATGAATTATGGACCTACACAATTTTTCTTTCTCTCTTTTAATCTGGATTTTACAGCTATTTTACAAAAACAATACTAACTAATCACTAATACGGCTTAGGAAAAACAGCAACCATTCATCTAATTGCTGATCTAGTTACTGTATAGATATTTTCTAGATTAACCCAAGGTTTTTGGCATGTAAATCGTAATATACAGTTTATGGTAACGATGACATTTAACTAGTAACTCTCGGCAGTACTTTAGTATGCTGTATTGCGCAGGGCTAGGCTATTGAATATAAGAACTTCTGAAAATGCAACCTTTATTCTTCAAAAGATGTAGGCCTAGATACACAGAACCCATATAAACACATTGAATTCTTTTCTAAATACGCCGTGATTAACAAAACTAAGAGCTGGAGTTTGGGAAGTGGAACCACGTTTCTTCAAATGTTAATAATTGTTTCATCGAAAAACTGGAAACTAAGTCCACAATCGTTACATTTTTTTAAACATTGGTGTTGTCCATTTCTAAGTGTTTTAATTCATAGTCAACATACACAAACTGCAAATAAGGTATCAAATTCATCGATATTATAAGTAAACTGTTTCTACGCATGGCATTAGCCAATAATATTTGAAAAACAAGTCCCTTACCGGTATGAATTTAAAAAATTTACAAAATGTAATGATATTTAAATATTTATGTAAAATAAAATTTTAGCGATTTATGGTAAATTTTCTTAGGTCTAAAAGCACATAATTTGCATTAAATGAGTCACCTATTAATATGGTACTTTATATGAACAACTAATATTAATTTGAGATTCAAAAAAATACAAATTTATTTTGCAAAATACAAAGACATCAATTATAGTTTCCCCTATATAAATTACAAATTATTCTCCTTAATGTCTTAAGGCCAAGTATTTAAACCTTAAAGCGTCTATGTATAACTTACTAAATCACTGTACTTACTTGTGTTACATTAACTTTTTTTTCGTTACTGTTAGTTTTATATATTAGACGATGTTTTAAGAATTTTTACAATTTAAACAGATGGTATTTGCTGTGACTTCGACTATGGGTGGTGTAACTGGACATATGACAATAGTAGGCCTACTGAACGCTGGCATCGTTCTTCTGCAAGAATCAATGGCGCTAATGAAAACACTCGTTACTCTGCATCAGGTTCAGTTGCAATTTACTATAATGCCAACTCTCATCAATTATGCTATCTTTGTTGTACCATGGTGTATATTGTACCACAGATAAACGAGAGTATTATGTAATTTAAAGAAATATATTAAAAAACGAATCAACAGGGATGATGATGATGATGATGATGATAATAATAATAATAATAATAATAATAATAATATTCAATATGATCATAATTTTAGTATTACTAGTATACTACTACCACTACCGCCATCTACTGCTACTGATGCTGATAATGATGATGATGATAATGATGACTACGATTACGACGACGATAATACAAATAATAATTATTGCCATAATGCAAATAATGATTATTGTCATAATACAAATGTGGCAAAGACAAGCCAAAACAGTCACTCGTCGCAAATTCTGTTTCAGAGAAAATAGCAAAAACATTCTAGAATGTAAAATTTAAAAAATCTATTTTATTTCACTAAACTAAGGTTCATGTATCTATACATCATGCTGTGCTGTTATTTTTCCCAATTTCAATGTTAAAACAACACTTTTTAATGATTAAATGCCTGAAATCATAAACTTTGAAGGCTGATTTCTCATATATTGTTCTTTAAAAAGCTGTATGCTTAAATGCTTGTAACTTCATAAGGAAATGTCAGATTTGAATGATTTTTTACCATTTTATAGCTCTTATTTTACTTTTAACCCTGTATTAATAACTCAAAATCGAATTTTGCGACGAGTGACTGGTTTTGCTTGTCTTTGCTACAAATACTAATTATCGTTATAATACTAATAGGGAGCTTTCGATTGCACGATTGTAGGAGGGCGTACAACGTAATGAAATCACTAAGAAATCGTCTGCGCATGCGAGAACGTTAGGTTCTCGTTTGTTGCGTAGATTCTAGTACGCAATTTAGCCAAATCTACGTTGTACCAAGAACGAAGGACGGTAACGCACGAGAAAAGCTTGGTTTCCATACAATAGTTACACACTAAAGCTTGGTTTCCATAAAATCGCTACACAGTCGCTACAGTGTTTTAACTACAATCATTGCACTGCGTATGCTGTCCCCTACGCAATCGGGAACGCTCCCTGATGCAGCGTCGCCAAAGGAGTATGCGATAGCGTGTAGCGATTTATGAAAACCAGACTATAGTCGGTTGAATCGGTGGAGCCTGTCCGATTGCGTCTGGGGCTGCTACGCATTACAACGTTCTGGTGTCACATCCTCGGGCATTCCAAAGCTCCCAAATTATCGCCATAGTACGATATAGTAATAACTATCATCATTATAAAGAATAATAATAATAATGTTATCATAATACGAATAATAATTATGATCGTAATCCGAATAATAATTATCATCATAATACGATATTATCAAAATACGAATAATAAATATATTTAGAATAATAATTATCATCATATTATAGAATAATAATAATCATTACAATACGAATAATGATTATCATTATACTACGATTAATTATTATCATCATAATACAAATAATATTTATTATCATAATACGAATATTATTTATCATCATAATACAAATGATATTTATCATCGTAATACGAATAATAATTATCATATTACGATTAATAATTATTTTCATAATACGAATAATAATTATCATCATCATATAAATAATAATTATCATCATGTTACAAATAATAATTATCATCATCAATACGAATAATAATTATCATCATAACACGAATAATAATCATCATAATACGAATAGGCCTAATAATTATCATCATAATACAAATGATAAATATCATCATAACACGAATAGGCCTAATAATTATCATCATAATACAAATGATAAATATCATCATAACACGAATGATAATTATCATTATAACACGAATAATAATTAGCATCAACACGAATAATAATCATCATAATACGAATAGGCCTAATAATTATCATCATAATACAAATGATAAATATCATCATAACACGAATGATAATTATCATCATAACACGAATAATAATTAGCATCATAATACGAATAATAGTTATCATCATAATACGAATAATAATTATTATCATCATAATGCGAATGGTATTTATTATCATAGTATGAATAATATTTATTATCATAATACGAATAATATTTATTATCATAATACGAATAATAATTATCATCATAATACGGATAATAATTATCATATGATACGAATAATAATTATCATAATACGAATAGTAATTATCATCATAACACGAATAATAATCATCATAATACGAATAATAATTATCATCATAATACGAATGATAATTTCTTCATAATACGAATAATAATTATCATCATAATAGAAATAATAATTATCATCATAATACGAATAATAATTATCATAATACGAATAATTATCATCATGATAGGAATAATAATTGTTATCAGTATTGCGAAGTGATAGCAATTGATCGTTGGTTTAATAAACGGTGCGATGTCGAATGTAAACTATAAAGCAAGTTGATGATTTTGATGAAGAGGAAGAGGAAAGGAAGAAAATGAGAAGTTGACATTTTTTGAAAGAAAAAACTCTACTAATAAATAATTTAATTTCTTTTCTGATTTTCAGATGGTTATTATATATATTTAAATTCCATTTCTGGAACTCATTTCGCATACATTATTATTTCAACAATACCAGCTACTTGGAGTGACCTCTGTCTGAACTTTTACTATTATATAAGTGGAGATAACAGTCAATGTATATTTATCAAGGATACTTATCATTCATATGATTTGTTCGTAATTTATGGCGACTACAGCAGTCAATGGAAGTATGCCAGTCTATATTTGACCAATCCTAGCAATCTTTACCTGAAGCTTAATGGAAGAGTTTTAGACGCTACAGAAATGGTGGCTGTTGATAATATCTATATCACTGAAGGAATATGTTTGAAAAATAAAGGTAATTTTTTCTTACGTCTGCACAATTAGTTATAAGCTACGCGCATGTTTCGTTTATTAAGGGACATGCTTGAAAACTGAAGGTAAAATGTTATTATGGTTGCACAATCAATAAATTGTTTGTACGATACGTGTATTTTTTTTCTATATTAGAAATATCTTTAACGATGTCTCAACAAATTTTGAATATACTGTGGGCAGAAAAAAAAGTAAAATGAACGTTTTCATATCCCTACTCATTTCTATGATTTTTTTTATTTATTTTTTTGGCATTGTTAAAATTAGAGCAAATAAATTAATTGTTTAATAGTAATTGCTGATGTACAAATTAAGTGTTATGGATTTAATTTAAAAATACAATTAAAAAACTTAGATTTTTTTAATGAAAATCTTATAATTGTGATTAACGGGATTCGAAGTGGGTTCGTTCTGATACTAAACTCTCTTTG